CTTCCACTTCTTGAATGTCCTTTTCGCCCTCCTGACGGAGAAGGTTCGGCATTCCTGCGAAGCCGCCAACGCCTGCGCCGCCGCGGCGTCCTTTTCCGCTTGTGTTTTGCGCGTCTGCTGCCGCCGTACCTTCCTCCTCGTCCACCTCCATCAAAATCGCGCCATCATGGCCACCCGAGAGCGCACCGCCAGCGCCTGGAGATGGAAGATCATGTTGCTGCGTCGGCTTCGGTTTCTTCGAAACCGCTCGGCCATCGGCTCCGCGCGGGCCGAACGTCTTCTTCTTGGACCGTCCCTGAGGCTTCCCCATGGTGCTTGCGTGCGTCTTTCGTGTTTTCGGGCCGCCACGTGTGCGTGTTGTTATGTGTTCGTCTTGCCCAACGAAAAAAATCTCCCATGGGGACGGCATAACAAAAAGTTGAATATCTCGGAAACCAGATTTTTCCCGACAAAAACCACAAATACCGACCTAGATATTGAGGAGAGGAATCGTTTGCCGCTGTTTATTTTGAAATCGGTCGGTTAGTTATCCCCCGAAAAACAATACAAGTTAGCCCTCTAGATCCGGTTTTCCTCTGATATCTCCGTGAATTTACAATATTTTGACCAAAAAAAAAATACCGACGTGGCAAATCCCGACATCTGTTCAAATCCGTTGAGTTTTTTCGAATCGGCAAAGAACACACCCCTGCGAAAACAATTCAAGTTTTTCCGATCGCCGATAAAAAGTCAAGAAAAAAATAAAAATAAAAAACTCTCCGTCACGCGATGCGCCTGCAAACAGGGCGTTTTCCGGTACTTTCAGATTTCGGAACAACCACCGGTGGGCAGAGAAAAGTTGCCATTTGTGCTGGGAAAATTTTGGATTTTTTGGTGTGCACGGACTATATGTACCCGGCTGATGTTGTTGCGCCCTGTTTCCCTCCCTGCTGTATGCTATACTCCTTTATGTATGTCCTTTGGATTGCCTTCAGCCTCTGTGCTGTGTTTCTTTTTTTCATTACGTTGCTGCCTACTTTGCTGTGTTGGGTACCTTGATCTCGCTTTTTTTGCTGTTGCTTTCGTTTTTTTACATCTTTCTGTCTGCCCATCTGCCGCCTCTTTGTCCTGTTTGCTCCGTTACTCCCATGCCCTGGTGCGTAGCAGGCGGGTGTGGGAAGCGTCCTCCTTTATTTTATTTTTTGTTTTATATTGATCGGTTTCCGAGGGCTCTTTTCTCGAACGGTCGGTGCGATATCTGTTCTGTTCTTCCTATCATTTTCTTTTTCCGAGTGGTTTGTACCCTATTTTCGTTTTGTTTCCCCGCGGCGTCGCATGTCCCGGGTTTTGAGACCACGGGCTCCCCATTTTTTGTGGACTAGTCTGTAGAGCTAATGTGAGAAAAAACAACAACAACAACAACAACAACAGCAGTACCGGAGCGGCACTATTCAAATCATTGAGGATAACATGGAAATTCGGTGTGTGCCCCCCGAAAACACTACACCGGCGCTACACCGGACACCGGCACTTTTCAACAGGCACTAAACGGGGACCTCAACTGCGCCACATACACACTGAATTGATTCTCCCCTTGTGCTTGCGGTGGTTGCCCGGCAGGAAATGATCGACGAAGCCGACCGGGATGGAGACGGCGAGATCAACGAGGAGGAGTTCTTGCGGATCATGAAGAAGACATCGCTGTATTGAAAGAGACGTGCGCGTGCATGCACCTGCAGTAGTTTTCGATCTCGTCTCATCACGTTTTCTCTTTCTTCTGCTATTATAGTGAATCGATTGTGGCACGTGGTTTTTCATCTTTGGATGTCTGACATCATTTCTTGTTCTACTTATGAAACGTAGACAAACGCAGTATTGATGTTTTCGACCTCGTCTCATGTCGGTTTCTTTTTTCTCTTTCGTTTTTATTCTGGGCTATCAATCAACGTGTCCGGCCCGGTGGACGAAAGAGAAAGTATGTGCTACTGTACAAACTCGACGGCGAAGTTCTAGGTGGTACAAGACCTAATATCGTTTGGGTTTCGAGATCTCATTGGGCAGTACAGCAGTTGTGCTTGGTGATGCAGCTTCAACACCGGTTTGATTTGATTGGACGAGCATGGTAGTGCGGCCGAATGCCCGTCCTTGCCATTGCCCTTAACTTCTTTTGACTTCACCAAAAAGTAGCGTTCGTTTCATGTACATATAGGACGCGTGTCCGCTTGCTTGCGGCGTTTCTTTAATGCAGGACTAAGTTGGACAACGTTTTCAGACAAGCGTTTTGAGGACAGAGAGAGAATTAGTGGGCATGGGTCGAATCACTCACTCGCGCACTGATGGAAGCGCCCGATAGTAACGGTACTTTTGGCGCCATTTTTTTTCTGCTACCCTCGGGATACTTTCGTTTGATTTCGGCAAGGCATTGAAGTTGTAAAAGCGAAAGGTCTGCGACCTGGTATGTAACTTCAAGTAAATATGGTCATTCCTTGTGCTTCGTGAGTCGCGATGCCACCCTCGAAAGAATCATGTTTCTTGAAACACGGCAAACCTAAACAACCAACTACCCCGGGCAACCAACCCCCGGAGCTGCTTGTACATGAGGTATGCTATGTGAATGAACATCAAGGGGCAAACGAGCATGGTTCAACAAGACAACAAGTATAGAAACAATGTTGACGGTGAACATGGACCCAGCTCAACAAACCAGAGGGCTTGCTTGTCTTCGTGCAATTAACTTTTCGTCGTCGGTGTGGTTTGTACTTTTTGCACGCGCCGTTCCCAACGTTTCCGTAGCCAAAGCTGCTCATGTTCAGAAGTTGGGCGAATAAACACCACCGCAGAACAACAACTCGTCCCCGCATTGCATCGTCGGGTCGAGGATTGTGGTGTTTGTTGGGGGGCGACTTAGTACTGCAGCAGCAGTAGGGGGCCTTGTTTCGTGCCGGTTGAAAACAACTGTAGTGCTCGGATTCTTCGGCTGGCACAGGCTCAATCAAGTCATCTGTACTTCGAGTAGTGCCGGCGGTGAACGGTATGAAGAGCCGGTGAATTATCTGGGCACATGCCGGCACCGAAGTGGCGCCCCCACCGCACTCTTTTCGAAAACAAAAACAAAACGAAGACAGAACGTGAACCGCCGACATGCGTGTGGCGAAAAGCACATGGCAATGGCACAGCCTGTGTTTGTCGATAACGACAACAGCAGAAACAAATTTCATATTTGAGTCGAAACTTCTTTCAAGCAACGGCATACCTTTTGTATAACGGGCAAATGAATCTTCATTAAGGGCGAGCTTGAGAGAAAGAAATCGAGTCTCACGTGGCGATTTAAAGTCCTTCGTAAAGTACCCGAAACCGGCTGATCTACGCTTAATCAGGCTGATATTTATTGTAGTGGCAACACTCTGTGGTCTCGTTTTTTATTAGTTGGCCTACCACGAAATTCAAGGGCAAAAGGTGCGAAGTTCTAGCACATCATCAGCCGACCGCGACGCGCCCAGATATGCCTCTCTCTCGCTGCTTTGCTTTGGTGGACTACCATTCCGAGCTGTCCTACAGGCAAACTTGCTACACATGCGAACACGAATCTATCTCGACCTCTTAACGCTCGTTGTTCAAACGGTCGACACCTACAACGACAAACCAAATCCTACGACTATGACAGTCGGATGTAACTGCGTGACCGATTGCGCAATTGCGTACGATGGTTACACTCAGCACGGACGGTAGGGTAACTATGTACATACACATGGCGGGTGATCAACGCCTCTCACTACTCCTCCACCCATTTCTTCCCTACTTTCAAGCGCCCCCCAAAACAATACGTAGCCCATACCCTGACAAAAAGGGGCACAGCGAATGGGGATGTTTCCTCTCATCCCGTCATAATAATTGTTCCGAAATCGTCCACGAAAAAGAAGAAAAAAAAAACACAGCGCCACGCCTCACCAAACCGAAAACACAACAGTAACATTTAAATGTAGAGGAACAAAAAAAAAAGAAAGTCGCGAAACAGGGGAACAAGAAGGAAAAAAATAACGAAGCAGACTGAATACACGGCCCACCTCAGGTGGGGTGCACTCTCAGTATTCCCAGAGGTAGCCACTACAACGACGACCACCACCACCCTCAACGTGCCGACGTGACGTGCAAGCAAATCATCCACCACCACCACCACCACCACCATTTCAACGTGCAAACCATCGACATTCCCCCTCCAATCAACCGCGGGGAGAATGGTCATGTAAAAACACTATTCCTTCCGCACCGAAACAAGACACCAACGGGGACTAGAGGGGGGGGGGGGGGGGGGGGGGGGGGGGGGGGGGGCGGCGGCCGGTACAAAAATCTTATTCTTTTGTGAAATGTTGACGTTATTGCCCTTCCCAGTAGGACATACCTCCGCCAAACTTCTTTCCAACACGTGCACCTCCTTAACCTCGTCTCACAGGCAAAACACCGCCCTCCCTTCTTACTTCTCTTCCCTCCCTCATTTACACACGCATATGTTGTTGGGCCAACGTTTACGACGATAAATGAGCGACGATACCATAACGCCGCACCCACATGGCGGCGGGGGGCGCGCGCTGGGGGGGAGGGGGGACGCAACACATATGAACCTAATGCCACCGAGATCGGGAACAACAGAAGACGAAAAAAAAAGAATCCCGGGGATTTGCTTCGGCGACAGAAACGTTGGCAACGAAATAAAAGGCAAGAATGCCGCCTACAACGCTTTCCGCCCCGCCAGCATCCGTTTCCATCTCTTTCCCCCCAGCATGAATAATTGCCGCCCACCGCGAAGCTTGGAAAAAGACCAACATATCCTCCTCAGATGGCCGGGCCGGCCATTGCCTAAAACTGTACCGGCATGCGTGTACGGAAAGCATGGTGATACGCTGCGGGGGCTACCCGTTCACGGTACGCGGAACACGGAATACGTCTACAGAAAACGTGCATCGGCTGATTAGCGGTACGCGCAACACGGAATACGTGAACAGAAAACACGTATTGGCTGGTATGTACGGAATTCGTCCATGGAAAACAAGTATTGGCTCAAGGGAAACCAGTAGTTACCCTACCTACCACGGAACTCAGAGGCCGGCAAGAAAAAACAAACGAACAAACAACACGAAATGTCCTCATTATTCAAGCATAAGGTTTGCGCTTCCGAAAGAAGCCCCTCTTCGACGACGAAAAAAAAAAAAGCCGTCCACCCGATACCAAAGCCCCTCCACTGTTACGGGGCGTGATAGGCGCCTACAAAAAACACGCCCTTCTGCGCATCTCATGCCGATGGGGAACATACACAGAGGTACAGCATACACATACATACGTTTAACTTCCTATGTAGATACCTACGATGTTGCTTCCCTGCCAAAGGAGAAAGAACACAAGGACAACATTAGACCGAATTTTTTACGACGCCAGTCGCCCAATAGAACGGCAAGCAACCACGTAACCCAACCTGTAGCTCTCTCGAATGCAGAGGAACAACTGGGCGCATCAGGGGGTGGGGGGGGGGGGGGGACCCCCCC